CATATGCATGTACACCAAAGTCAACTTTGCAAAATGTGGCTAAATGACTGAAAGCTCCAGCATGGTTTCGATTATGTATGTATGCATGTACCACATGGCCGACAGCATTTTTTGTGCATAATTCTGAAAACGGGGTTGTTGTTTGTATTTCTGTTTTCATCATTTGCAGGCCTTAGCAAGGAAACTGATATTAAACAAGGCACATGTCTGTGTATGTTTGTGGGTAGTCCTCACAATGTTATACAGCTGTCAATTTCGGTTGATGAGTTGAGTTAGTCATATAACTGTATTGACCAGAAGTTGGTTGGCAGCAGTTTTGACCAGAAGAGCCACTTCATTAAATTTGCATACATTAGCAAAATGTGAGCGCGTGAGTGTGTGATTTGTGCAGTTAAGTGAAAGTGGTACTGTATACTCAGTTTCTGAAACAAGCCTCACTAACTGCATAATATAAACATGGGCTATCTCCATTCGGGCGTGATGAACTGGTCTTAATTGTTTTCAAAACTTTTTTCATTTTATGGTATCTTACTTGTTTCCTTTAAATTTTACATTATTTTATTTTATTTTAATTAATTTTATTTATTAAATATCTTATCTTATTTAATTTAATTTAATTTAATTAAATAAATAATCTTTTTGTTAACCTTATTCCCACATTCTTTCACTTCACATAATTTTATTATATTCCATGTTATTTCATTTTATTTTATTATATTTTTTTATTTTTTTTATTTTATTTTATTTTATTTTATTTTATTTTATTTTATTTTATTTTATTTTATTTTATTTTATTTTATTTTATTTTGTTTTGTTTTATTTAATGAAATTAAATTTATAATTTTATTTTATATTAGTTATTTTATCTCTTTATATAGCGTTTTATTTTTGAAGATTTCCTACTGGAAAGCTGCGACAGCTGTAACAAATGTTTTGCAAACTCACGTATATTGTTATTGTAAATTATTACGAGGTATATGAAAATATATGTACTTGGATGCAGTTTGATGTTCTGCCTGAATGTCAGCGATTACTGTTGTGTTGTTGTTTACCAGTTTTCAATTATACCATTTTCAAGCAACAAGGTTACTCATATATTTGTTCCCTTTGCATCGGCACTTGAGTCTGCTGCCATAGTGATTTTGTGCCACATTTTCATGGGTGTGGTGGTAATGAGCTTTTTTTGTTACATTAATATATACATGCATATATGTACATAAACAAGAAGCTAAAATAATTTAACGAAAAATAACTTTACAGACAGCAGCTGACAAAGAGAAGAGAATAAAGAAAATGAAAATGAAAATGTCAGCGCGACAGGCACTCAGTCAGCATCAGTTGGTTATTAAGGTTGAAGCATGTACGCTGACGTATGGATTAATGTTTACAAATACTTAAAAATAATATCTTCTTATACATAGAATGTCTCATTAGTATAGATCTTTTTAATTAAAAATAAGAGTTTTGTAGTTAAATCGAGAAATCCGCAAAATTGTTCCTCCCGCGAAGGCTTTTACCTGACAAATTTTTGTAGGCCCAATATGTGTCATCGGAATAGTTTGTAAAAATACCTTACCTCAAAAGTTGTTATATTTTCAAATTGCTAAACCTTTTATTAACATGGCAAACCATAATTTTCGTGCAATAGCACCATCATACCCAAACCCATGTATGTATTAACGAAGTTAGCATGCAAACACATTAATATGCATTCACCAGCTTTTAAATACCGCCATTTTAGTATTAGCACACTGATACTCCTGTTTGTCCTAACATATTTTCATAAACTCATTTATTGAAATTGTACAAAACAACACTCTCTTCCTGTCTCTCACCACACCACTTCATTTCAAGTACATTATTGAAAGCGTCATATTATTTTTGAGTAACTGTTGTATTAAACAGGGTTATCATAGAGCAAAATATATTGATTTTCTTTTAATCCTATGTTTGCATTTGGTGTAATTGAAAATATTTGACAACGATTTTCGAAAATTAATTCTTTTAAATGAATTTCAGCCTCGTGTTATACATATGTCTGATAAGTAGATCTGGTCAGACCATCTAAGTCAAAACATTAAATTTATTATTATATAATTGATCTTATCACTTATTTATATGTGTGCTTTCTACGAAAGTTTCAATATAAATGCGTCGAAGTAAGCCAAATTCGCCAGCCAAATCAATGTTGATTTACACTAAGATGAACGTAAAAGAATGGTTTCGGATGGGAAGCCGCAGAATAAAAACATTCAGATGGAAACATACCTACGCTTCATCTATGTTGATCTCCAAGGTATGATTCTTGGACAAAATTCTACTTTGCTCCAGGTGTCTTTTTCTTTGGTAGGAAATACTATTATTCCATTTACCAACTTAACAACCCTATGCTGTCTCAATTAAACAAGAGTTTCGTGCTACAGAAATGTCATAAATGTATATGATTTCAATTTTCCCGATATATTTCTAATATATGCTCTTCTCAGTCTGCAGTATTAATACGTTCGTGCTTAAAGTAATAGAAATATGCATAAATATATCACCTCCTTACTACCAGTTACACCATGGCGTATGAGTAATGAAGCTGAAAATATTGAAAATGTTTTCGTTAATTATTTTCATTTGTGCACTCGTGCATAAGCATTTATATGTGCGTATAATTATTTAATAAAAATACATTATTATGTAAATATTTTTTATGTGTCTAAAAGTTGTGGACTTTCAAAAGCCAAATATAGATAAAAAGAAATAGACAGACAAAATCAAAATTTATCAACTGTCAGAGTGCAGAGCAAGTGAAGAATTTAGGAAAACATTTCAAATGATTTTCTTAACATACAAAAATAAGACTTTGGATATTTGAGATTTCAGTTTAAAGTTAAATTTAAATTTAATAATAAATGTAAATTCTTATTTTAAATTCTTATTTTAATTCTAATTTTAATTTTATTTTAAATTTTAATTTTTTTAATTTTAATTTGATTTTTTTTTTTTAATTTTAATTTTTATTTTAATTTTATTTTTATTTTTAATTTTTATTTATTTTTATTCTTTATTTTAATTTTATAAAAATTTACTTCTGTATACTTAATCAAATAAAATTTCCTTAATTGAGTCGAAGAAACTCCTCCTTAAACTAATTATTAAACAAAGTATGAATATTAAATGCACATAAGCATTTATCACTTACCATATAAATTTATTTCAGATCAGTTGCTTTCAACAATTTTCCCCCTCTAAAATATCATCCGGTTTAAGTCGCAGCCACTGACCCTAAAAAGTCCACTGAGATTTCTTCTGTGCGCCAGTCGCGAAACACACGCTCAACTACGGTTGGTCGTGATGCTGAATAAGCTTTAGAGCATAAAACTTTGTCTAAATGCCACTAAATTATTGCATTGTCATGAGGTGCGGCAATACCATTGTGGCGGCAACACCACACCAAAGCCAACGAAAGCCACAAAAGAAATAGTGAAAGTAGAATTCATTTTCAAGCATTACCGTATTGTCGTCATCTTCACTTACTTCACTGCTTCTCCAAATCCCACACACCTGACACCCTGATGTGCGCGGCTGTAAGATTCAGCTGCTCAGCGTCTAGTGGAAATTCTACTTTGCGCTAGCATAACGCAATAGTCAACAGTAGAACGACTGCTGCATGCCACTTAAGTGCGCCAGCAATGGTTAAGTCAAATAATTTCAGAGTCTTCTTGTTTCTTGTTTTTAACTTTGTTTCTGGTGCCGGCAAGTGTAGTCGCAGTTACTTCCGTCGAACTGTGACTAAACCGCAGTCGTGTAAAAACAGGTAAACTTGAAATGAGTACGACAACAACAAAAGAAAAAATATTTGTTGGCTAAAGTGAGACCCAAGCAAGCTCGTGTAGAAAGTCACAATTGTAAGCAGTGAAGAGGAAAGTGTGGTTGGGAGAATGAGAGAAGATGGTAAGTACTGTTGGTGGTGGTAGCGGTCGTATCTGGTTGTGTGTGCGTTGTGAAAAAACTTATTGCTATGCATTTGTACTACTTCCCATTTTTCCTATGCGCCTGCACTACCCTCACCGACCTACCATATCTCTTCGCATTACCTTCATACACCGCTCTCTCAGGTATTCATATTAAAAACCCACTGCACTGAAGTTCGTTGCTAAGGTTTTAGGTAATAAATTTCTATAGCCGGAAATTTATTCGCCCACAAATGTTTGGTTGTGTATAAAGGGTGTCCGTATTTATGCATGCGCTTACTACCGAAGTCGCGTAAGCAAGGTAGCTATGAGCGAGAAGTTAAAAAAATAAATAGTAAAAAAATATAAGAGAACAGCAGAATAATAAAGTGAAAAAGCGCAAAAAATGGTTGCGAAAAAAAGGAGAATCAAAACATACTTTACGGCGCGCCAGCCTGTACTTAAACTTGAATACTTCAATGCGTGAAATTTGCTTTTACTTTTTGCTTTTTTTCCTCTCGTAATATATTTTTCTTTCTCTCTCTCTCTATCTCTTCCTCTCCCTCTTCCTATTTTCGGGTGTGTGTTACACCTTTAGCACACATTTTAGTTTGGCGCTTTCAACAATTCCTTTTTTCCACCACTCGGCATTTTTAACTCTTCCAAACCGTGAAAAAGTGCATTTTTGCGGCTTAACCTCTTACTTACCACCAAAGTGCACCACCCCGACGCGTCATTTTACCTTCAGCCAACTTGTTCAACTTCGGCTAAGTACTTGTGTGTCGTGTTTTGGCAGTTGGCGTTAAACTTTGAAGTTCAAGGATAATTTAAAATGCAAGCACGCTGAAATGTCGGCTTTAAAATGCGTCAAATTAAATAGTTGAGATTTTTGTAGCATACATTTTGGCGCTTAAAATTTTTTTGCATACTTTTAGGCGCTTATATAAGTGCATATTTTCAAGCATTTATTAAATTTTGTACGCTTTAATTTTCGTTGTATTTTAAATAATTACTTTTTCCTAAATAAAAAAAATTTTCTCCGCGCTGCATATTTTTCAGGTCAAACGTTTAACTATGGGCCTCTTGCGTTCGAATGAGGAGTCAAGACCGCTTGTAAGCATACCCACACCTACCAGCACAACAAATACAAACACCCTTTGCAATGCGAAACTGCACAGCTCGACGAGTAATCAGATTTATTCAAATGGTTATATTAACGAAGAAGCCTTTGAGCCGGAGAAATTTATTGCCAGCAAATTTGGTGATTCATGTCGGCAGTCGCTGACAGCTATACCCATGTTGGATACCGTGAATTTGAATGACAATAGTGAATTCAATTTGAAGAAGCGTTATTTACGTGAAACGAGTAGTGGTGAGTGGTAGTTTGTGCTTAAAAATTAAATATTTTTAGAAATATTTACTTAAATTTTCTATTAACTTCATATTTTAATCTTCCTTTACTTCTTATTATATATTTCTTTTTGTCTCTCTCTGAAACAGCAAACTCCAGCCCAAAAATATTCGCCAATCGCCTGCGCAACAACACCTTGGCCGTTGCTCTGCGTCCCAATACCACCTCCAATTCCACCACAAACACCGCCACAACAACGGATGCCTTAGACGAGACAGAGGAAGCAGATCTCAAGGATGCTTCCTGGTTTCAGGCTGGCATTTCACGTGACATAGCCGTCGAAGTGTTGTCCAGCAAAAGTCCTGGTGCCTTTTTGGTGCGCAAAAGTACCTCCAAGCCTGGTTGTTTCGCCTTAACACTGCGTGTGCCATCACCACCGGGACCTAAAACGGCGAACTATATCATTTTGCGTACAGCGAGAGGTTATAAAATAAAGGTAGGCAGCCATGTTCACCCAATGAAACATTGAAATTTTGTTTTGTTAATTTTAAAAATAAGCTTAACGAAATGATTTCGTGATATCGAAACGAATGTTCAATCCCCACAAACTTATCAAGAAAATCACTTAAAAATTGCTATGATATTAACAGAGAACTTTAATTTTAACGTTTAACATTATCTGCTAACGACTTAACATTAACGACAGCACTTTGTTTCTGTTAAAAACGAAATAAAATATATACTGATAGCTGCTTAAACGATAACATTTTCAATCGAATTGTTGGAATTTTTGAATTTATATTTATAAAAAAAATTTAAATAAATTTTTTGAATTAAATTTTTTTGTGTAAAAAATTTTATAATTAATTTTATTTTTAATTTGTAATGATGGAAAATTTATTTACAAACATTTTCAACGCTATTCAATTTTATTTTCAATTATTTTTAGGGCTTTCGCAAAGAGTTCTCCACGCTGCAGGCGCTAATAACCCATCACTCGGTTATGCCTGAGCTGCTGCCAGTGCCGTTAGCCTTGCCACGCCCAACAAATATGACATCATCACGTAGAAATATTGACGATTTCGATACTTACGATTCTTTGCAGATGTTAGTTAAGTATTTACGCGCGAAAACTTTGGAAAATGAGTAGAAATAATGCAAGTGATATAGAGTGAAATGAGTTGGACTTACCTGATGTGAAGAAAGCACAAAGCAAACATAGTAAACTAGAAAGAAGGAAGCAAAAGTATAAAACAATTACAACCGAATAACTAACACCACTCAAATTTATGTTATGTGGTTTCAGCCACTTCCGCTAAACTCCTCGTACACATTAATCAGCTGCAAAAGAACAAAATTCAGTAATCATCCCTAAACGTCAAAAAAAAAAATTCAAAATAAAATAAAAAAATAAACTAACAATAAAAGTTATACATTTTCATAGCTTCATCCAAAAACAAAGGCAGACTCATTCAATATCCCCACAAAAACATAAATATTCAAGCTATTTGTAGTAGGATAGTTATATGTAGCTATAGTATATGCTAGTTATATGAAAGTAAATAAAAAAGTTTATAAAAAAAATGTGATATCATTAAGTGACACTACGTACAGAGTTAGCTGATGCATACGCCGGCAGCGTCAGTTATGCAACTACTTATATAACTAGTTTACTTAGTATGTATGTATTGTATAGTATTTAATGTTAAAGTTGTTTTGTGTGTGTGTAACTGTTAATGAAAAGAAAATGCATGCACACGCTTTTATGCATTTATGTGTGTAGGTATTTTTGGTCTAAGACAAAAGTTTGAAGCCTATTTAGACACTTTTTGAATACACTGTAAATAAAATTTATTTTCTGCAAAATCGAACAAGTGAAAAATGCTAAATAAATTTGTTTAGTTTTCATAAAAAAAACTAAAATTTTTGAATTTAATAAATTTGACTCCAGAAACAGGTAAGCTATGTTTTTTCAGGAACATTCTGGTAAATTTAAAAGAATTATTTAGAAAAAACCATTAAAATTTCTATTTTAACAAATTATGCCGCGAAGATTTTTTAACGATTTTCAAGTCAATTCCTGAGTATCGGCCTTACTTCAGAACTGCGTGAAATTTAGGTAAAAAAATATATGTATGTAGACGAGTGAAGGATGTTTCGAAGAAGAAATACAGCTAGAAAATGGAACGACAGAACCTTAAAAAATAAAAAAAAACAAGTTGCGACAGAGGAGAGTGGAATAGCATTATTATGATCAAATAATATGAAGCTTAAATGATCAAGTGGCTTTCTGTGGAGCAATCACTTGCTCTGATTTTGTTCTTTTCCCCTAAAAATTTTAAAAAATTCACTAATATCTATTTTTCCCCTTCAAAGCAGTGCCTCTAAGTTAGAATAGATTTACGCAAGTTTTTATTTTTAATCCTTGGAGCATTGCTTTTGTGGATTGATTGTTGTTTACTTCAACTCTCCCGGTCGTCGCAAAGCAAACCTTTTCCGCTTTCTTCACCTTTGGTGATAGGAAAAGGTTTTAGGAGACAAAATTCGGTGAATGTGGTGTCTGAAGCATAATTTTCGTAATGGTGTTATTCTAAAAGTTTGAAACACCCAGGTACGAGGGAGCTATAGGACACAATTCAGTGAGCTTTTTACCCGCAATTTCAAGCTAGTTTCATATCCTTAAGACTATACTATTATGGTATGAACACTTTCCGCCTTAAACTATGAAAAACGAGGAAGAAAGTGAGCAACACATAAACTTTTCATCAATCCCCATTTGTTTGTTTATTCGTAGCTCTCCTGAGTTGGTCCATTGAGGCGACAGATCTTCGCTTTTGCACAAATACATACATCCAAAATTCGTCACTTGTTATGGCTCACTTAAGCAACATCATTTTGTACACAATTTCTAAACGAAACTCACCGGAAAATTTTTTTGGTAACTGTTATAATACCTATATAGGCAAGAAGACATTTGTTTATGGGGTGTAATCCACTTGCAAAACAAAATAAATGCTTCTCTTGTTAATTTTTACTTTTTTTTTCTTTTTGATTAATAGAAAAAAATTAATAGACTGAATTTGATGTAGCCTAAATATAAAAAACTAATTTTAATAATCCTCTTGTTTCTGCAGCCGATCTCCATAAGGGCTTCCAAAGAAAGGTGTCTGGCAGTGAGGGAGAATTTGTTTTGAAACAATGACGGCTCCAAAAAAAATCTACCTTGTAAAGTGACTTAAAAATAGAAATTATTTTCAAAAAATTTCCTTCGATCATTACCTCACAAATATGCCTTAGAAGATTGTGTGCAAATTTTAAGTCGGTAGGTTCAGCCGCATTTAAAGCTCTGCGAACCATTCACACTAAGTTAAGCACTCCGCCTTGCGCTTCGCCTATTTTCGAACGCCACGAGACGTCCTCAATGACACGATCATAATTCCGAGGCTGTTTGTCGGATCAATTTCAGCTTTTCGGAAAATACTCTCAAATATGTACATATGTGAGTATTTGAAAAACTAAAAAAATTGATTTTTTTAAAACTACAAGTGGATATAAACCCTTTTAAGATACGAGGGCGGGAGGGTCTTGGAATGAACGGCTCTGTGAAATATTGCGTGCGCATAAGCCAACTGATATGTCAACATCAGCAACTGCTCTCGTTAGTGCTTCATCTTCGTCGAATACCGACAATTGGGAACGATATTAATCTAGCCTTGTGCAAAATCTTAAATACGGCTTTTCCAGGTCATCGCGAAATACATTGTACTTCCTCTTAATTACGAATGCGAATTACCGCCATTCTCACGGCACGCAATTTGACGCTGTTCGGTTTCGTTTGTTTGTTACATTTGAAAACGCATGGAAAATGAAAGATTTTAGTGGAAGTTAAAAAAAATTCTTAATTGAATTCTTTTCTTTGTTTCTTCTTTAATATAAAAAAGTGTTTGGTTTCAAATTATTTTGTATTTATTAGTGTTTCCTTTCCTGATTTTCATCCCTTTTCTTTTGCTTTGTCAGCTGCTTTCGATAAAATTTTAAGAAGAATTAGAGAGGTCGAGAGGAGATTTGGTCGTAATTCGCTTGACAATTGAAAAGGAATTATTTACTTCTACTGTAATTCGCTCCCGAAAATTTTTATGGCGAATTAAATAATTACGATTGACAGATCGAATCGTGGAAATACCATAATATGCTGCTTAAATGTGATAAATACATAAATTCAACGAAAAGCTCCAATAGTACTCAGTACATACGTCGATTGGGTATTTCAACAATAAGCAGTGGATAATAATTTTACGAACAAAATTTTCTTCAGTGACGAGACACATTTCTCACTCGCGAGCAATGTAAATAAGCAAAATTCCTGGTTCTAAATATCTTGCAATTACTAAAGAGAGATCTTAATACCCAAAAGAAAACTACTATCTGGCATTTTTTGGTCCACAAGTATAATTGGCCTTTACTTCTTTGAAAACGATAATGTCCTAACTTCCACTGCCAATTCGGAATGTAAGTAAAAAAGGCAGGTTTTTTTTTACCTGCGTTTGAAGAAAACAACTTGGAAAATATGTGGTTTCCACAATATGGTGTCACGTGCCACAAAACACGTGCATATGTGGCTTTATGGTGAGTGAAACTTCCCTGGCGCATAATCTCTCATTTTGCAAATGCCAATGGGCCACCGAGATCGTCAAGTTATAGCTGAGATAACCCCTAATGTGTGCGTGAAAGTTTTCGGAAAATACCTCAAATGGATCGAAGCTTTGCATTTTGTTATAAACATTTTATTCCTTAAAAATTATAATTTCAAATGCATTTTATTTACGAAATAGATAACCCTGTATAAAATACTAAAAATAAAATCAAGAAAGCTAATTTCAACCAATCTTTATTGCTTCATGCATAGCTTCATACATACATTTACCACATAATAAACAATTTCGTCACTTTTCTTTTTGCTTTCGCTTCACTGCATTGTCGTCTACGCCCCAACAATGAAATCGAAAAACTCTGCTCATTAAGAAAATTGTGTTCATTCAATGTTCAATTAAAAAGTTATACCCATACTTATATTTCCAACAACAAATAAATAATTGAAAATTATAAAAGATGAAAAACAAAAATCCAAAAAGAAAACACAAATAATAATGAGAGAATTAAAATATGACTACAGCAACAAACAACCAAAAAAATAAAAATAAAAAAAATGGAAATTTAAAATAACTGCTGGCGTCAGCATTTAAAGGAGTACTTACGAAATTTGAAATGGGAAAAGAAAATATAAAATATTCCACCGACGAGAGTAAAAGCAAAAATATTAAGAAGAGAAACACTCATCAATGGCGCAACTTTTTCTACGCTTCACCATTAAAATAGCAGGGCGTGGTGTTGGCAAACGGCATGTGGGTGGTAATAAGCTGACTTTGATACTTTTGTTATTCACTGCAGCCGCCTGCCAAACTCCCCACACACCATGCTGTAGCAGCTACTTATTAAATGGCTCTTTACACACAGCCGCCACTCTCGCTCCGGCGCCGCTCTGCTGCTGTAATTGATTTCGACCAGCATTCACTCATTCACAGTCTCTGTGGTGCTGGCTTTTTTTAGCACTTGCTATCAAAATGTTTATTTGCTTTTTAAATATTTAATGAGAAATTGACAGAAAGGACATATTTGGAGCCGGTGAATGCTGCTAAAAGTTTGCTGTCAACGGAAGAAAGAACATTTGTGACAGCGAGCGATTTATGTGGTGGCGACGAGAGAGAGAGAGAGAAAACGAGAGTGGGAGCCCCCGTCAGGTACTCAACGCTGTCACAGCTGAGTGAAGTGTGTCCTTTATTCATAATAGCATAAAAGTTATTATGAAAAGTCTGCACATTACTTTTCATTGAAATAATTTGCGCTGTTAAAAAGTTGGTTGCCCAGAAAATTAAAAAAAAAAAAAAAAAACAACAACGAAGTATTTGCCGAAGCGACTGTGACGTTGACTTTGACATTGAGTTCGGTGCGTTACTTTGCTTTGCGATTTTTTCTACTAATTATTTAAATGTTACTTCGTGTAGGTAGTCTGCGGCGCTCATTCGTGTGTAGCGGAGCTGATAATTGCAAAATGTTGAAGAAAAAGTTTTTCGAAATGAAAAAGGAAAAGCCGTTTGTTTTTTTTTTTAGGTACAAAATATCAAAAAAAAATTCTAATTGAGCCAAGAGATAGGATCTTTGATGCTGTGAAACTCTGGGTAGAGGATATAAATGCGTTGGAAGAAAATTAGAAATAAAATTAAGAAATTAAAAAGTTGCAGAAAAAGCTACGACTAAACTTTTACTTAAAGAAATCACTGTTATGCTGGAGCTAAAGCCACACAAAGCCCTCTATTGAGAATGCTAAATACGGCAGTCGCAGCACCAGAATGGTAAACAGTGCGAGCTATTATGCTGATGGTCATGGACTCGAAATAAGGTTGGAACAAGATTAAATACTTTACCGAAGAAAAGAAAAAAGGTTGTCATCTACCTAAAATTTATATTCACAATAAATGAAATTAAAAAAAAAAATTAAAAAGCAGTCGCCTAACTGTGGTACAGACAAGAGCTTCTTGTAAGAGTTGTGAAATGATTTTTTGTTTTTTACCCGTGCATGAGTTGTAATGCCGACGGAGATTTTTCCCCCTTATATTTTTAATTATTTTGTTTGTAATTCAATGAATTTTCAAGAAGACCAACATATTTTAAATTATTCTCGATATCTTTGCTCATCTTATTCACCCATAACCTCAAAATACTGGTGCTTACGTAGGTGGGGTAGCTACCGATAAATGGATGTCTGACGACATAGCCAGGCCTTTCGGAAGTCCATTGTGAAATCAGCG